CGACGACGATGTTCCCTACTAACTTCCCGTGTCTGAACGTTGTTGCTTGAGAGCCATCTCGTCACAACAGCAGCGCATTGGTCTATAAATCATCGACCTCAGGCTGCCACACATGAGAAGTCATATTTCTTCCCTCGTCTCTTTCTTTGAAAACTATGATTCTGCTCGTACCCTCCTCATCGCCGTCATCGCTCGAAGCTACCCGGCTCTGCCATGGAGAATTGGGCAATTATGAATCAGTTCCATGTTCAGGGAATGTTCATGAGGCGCTTGTGGACGGCCTTGGGGGTTGCAAGAAGCCTGGGCGCACGCTGCCAATGTAATAGCAACGACGAGCGAGTAAAGATGACAATGGACGATTGCATGGACATGTTGGTGACGCTACTGCCAGAACCAAGTATAACAATCACCCCAGGTGAAGAGCGAGTTCACGCAGAGCACAAATAAGGCATGCCCGCATGCCTGATGCCCCTCATATTCCTCTCTCTTTCTCCTTTTCTCTTCCTCTCTTTCTCAGTCGTTCTCTCTTTCACTCTTTCCCTTCTATTTCTTTGTTTATGGTATTCTAATATCCAAGCGCAGCGCCCTGACATTGCAACAGGTAAGCCTTGTCCGCTTGAGTTCAATGTTGGCGGCCCTCGCTCATGATGCTGCCAACTAGGAGGCACTAGTGAGCTGTGCAAGCTGGCCCCAGACTGAGCTTGAGTCGGTATGATTGCGCTGCGTAGCGCATGGCAGCCAAACGTACTCTGGGAGTTGCAAGGCACCCGTTCAACGTCGTTCGTGTTGAGATGTAAGAGTAGCGAACTTGCATCTTGCTCGAAGGCCTCGGGCAAGTTGAATTCGCGCAAACAGCCCGCCTTGTCATGCCTGTGTCTACGCCCACCCCAAAATCATGTACGTAGTTTCTGTAAGGTACACCTCGTTGGCCACTAGTGCATCACAGTGAATGTGTACGCCCCAGTCGCGGTCTCCTGGGCACAGGACTCTCCTTGATGGGGCGCGATGTTTCTTCGGCCCAATGTCTTCTCTTGAGGTGGATGCTCTGGTTTTGACAACGGCCCAAACATGGGTAAGTGTTTCCCCTCCCTAGGGTATCCCTATAAGTACTCCCCGTCCGTTCCAGGATTGAGATGGTTCCAGGAGGAGTGGGCAGTAGCGAGAGAGAGCGAGCCAGACGAGGATGGAAGCCCAGCCCATCCCCTCCCAATTCTGACCGTGTGGGGGCTGGGCGCGCGTCCGCGAGGAACGAGCAGTAGAGGAGGGAAAAGGGCTACTAGCAGCTTGGGGTCGTGTGGGTGACGCCGACGGCGTTGTCGCAATCATCAGGCATCGCAGCCCCCCCCCCCGCAGGGAAGCTCCGCCGGGGACGGGTGGGCGTCTGAGGGGAGCACGATGCAGGCGGCAGACGTATCTATAGGTGTCTCTGTAGGTTGGGCTCGGCTCTGGATGGATGTGTATGTGCACATGTATGTATAGATGTATGGCCCCGTCGTTCGCGCGGAAACGGCAGTCACTTGTCAGCACCAACAAGTTCAATGAATCAAACCAGAATTTACAAATTCTGCAAACCATGAACTACCACACGCTCAAAACATTCAAGCCACTGTTAGCCAGCGCGGGCCCCAAACAGTGAGGTATCGCACCGTTGAGGTGAACGCTATGTCGTGCACGTAATATGACGTAAGCTCTGTCGTGTAAGTGGCGTGGTGGGAGCTTCGGAGGTGACAGCTACGCAGCGCAATTAACTAGTGAAGAACTCGGTCACGCCGAATCCTCTGCTCGGGCAAATATCCCGCCCTCACACCCGCAACTTGTGTTGGCAGAGCCCCTTCGGCCACGATTGCGGTCATCGACTGGCCCCTGCTTGCGCATCTTGACGGCCACGCTCTCGCGCACTCGCGCGCAGAGCGACCAGCTGGCCTTGGCACAACTGATGCGACTGCGATGACATTTTACTGCTGCGAACTTCCCAGCGCGTCTTAAGAAGGCGCGCCTGCATACGGGCACTTCACTGCAGGTCAGTGACCCAGGCGGACGCGATATCATGTTCACGCCGACAACGGCGGCGACGACGACGACGACGACGATGATGATGATGATGATGATGATGATGATGATGGTGATGATGATGATGATGATCGTGATGATGATGACGACGATGATGATGATGATGATGATGATGCTCGTGTTGATGATGATACTGATGATGCCGATGATGATTATGAACACGATGGTGATTACGCTGATGATGATGATGATGGTGATGATGCTGACGATGACGATGATGATGATGCTGGTGATGGTTGCAGGTGATGGTGATGAAGATGGTGAGACTGATGATCATAATGGTGATGCTGACGGGTGATGATGACGATGATGATAATGATCGTGGTGATGGTGATGGTGGTGATGATGATGATGCTGATGATGATGATGATGATGATGATGATGCTGATGCTGATGGTGATGGTGATGGCGATGATGATGGTAGTGATTATTCTGGCGATACTGCCGACGACGATGGCAAGGCAATGGCGGTGCCGATGCTGGTGACAACGATGTTGACAATTATATCCACGTGCTCCTTGTTGAATGTTCTTGTGCTGCTAATGGCGTCAATGGCGGCGATCGGCGTTGATGCGCTGGTGTTACTGAGGGTGATGTGGAAGTGTGCGCGCGTAGAATCTGTTGCTGGAAAATCTGGCAGACCGCGGATGCTCCGCGTGGTGGGATTAGAATACGTGTGCCGCAGAGATTGCTACAAGCATATGTTTCCCCTTGGCTTCAACAGCAAGTTTGCGCGGGCAGAATGCGCGCGTTCGAAAAGCTCGCTGTCTATATAAGATTTAAGCGTTTCGTTCACGCCGTCGGCCCATGATGCTGCATCGCTGGCATTTCCCCGCGTGTTCGTTGCCCCTGCTGTTGCTGCTCCTATTCCTCATCGTCTTCGGTCCATTCTCCGCTTGCAGCTCCTGTCTTTCCGTTCGGCCTCCTGTTCTCTGGATCATCGTGCTGAGTGCAGTGTGTATTCGTGTGCATGTATCCAGGCTACGAAGACATGGACGAGAGACATTCGTGGGGAGTCTCATCCACCACCGTGCCTGGGTTGCGGGTCAGAGTCCTCGTGGAGGCTTCTTGGGGTCTCCTCGGGGGGCTCTCCGGGTCTCCAGGATCCCTGGGGATCTGTTTGGGGTCCTCTTGGAAGCGTCCTGGGATCATCTTGGGGGCCTATTGGGGCTCTCAGGAGGCCTCTTCGGAGCCTCTTGGAGATGTTGGGTGGCTCTTGGGGGCTTCTGGGGGCCTCCTGGGCGCCTCGTGGGGCCTCCTAGGCGCCTCTTGGGGCCGAAGGCTTGAAGTGTCCGTTCGGGCTCCCCCCCCTGGGCCCTCTCTGGGGGCCGTCCTGGGGCCCTGGTGGGCCGTCTTGGAAGCCTCTTGGATTGACTGGGGGCCCTCCTGGGCCGTCTTCAGGCCATGCTGGACGCCTCTGGAGCCGTGTTGGGGCGATTTGAGGGGCCTCTGGGAGCGTTGGGAAGCCGAAGTGGCGAGAACGGGCCCTCTCTTGGGGCCGTTCAGGGCCTGTTCGGGCCGTCTTGGAGGCCTCTTGGGCTGTCTTGGGGCCCTCTTGGGCCGTCTTCAGGCCCAAAAATGACAGAGTTTGTGTGCCAGCGCATTTTCTTTTGCGGAGTTGGGCGCCCTGGCGCAGACGGCCGAACGACCCCTGCAGCGGGACACCCTGCCCACACGGTCGGCGCCGCAAAAACTGCGCGTTCAACGCTGGCGCCGCGCAAAGGACGCACCGAAAGGCCTTGTGGAGGCCTCTGGGGCAGTCTTGCGGCAATCTTGGGGGCCTCTGGGGCCATGTTGGAGCGTCGGGGAGCCGAGATGGCGAGAACGCCAGCTTCACTCAAAACCAACGGATCATCTATCTTGTTTGCCTCCTGGGCCGCTCGTCGAAGTGCTCTGGGAGGCTTCTCAGGGCGTCTTGAACCGTTTTGAGCTGGCTGATGCCGCGCCGTAGTCAGCCGGAGAAAGGCGACGCCGAATGCCGTGCGCCAGCCGGCGCGCAGCCGTCCGTTTGCGGCGCTGTGACCGCCCCGTGCCTGGGCACCGCGTTTTGCACAGTGCCGCAGTGAAGAGAGAGACCGGGGTTTGATCACCTCCACGTCTTGTCCTTTAGATGCTCCATCTGTGCGGCGGCGGGGGCGCGCTCACACGGCGTGCCCCTCATGAGGCTCCGACAAATAGAGGCCACCATAGAAGCCCTTGCCAGGGCTCGCGGCATGGTTGTCTCTCAGCGCCAGTACAGCCTGTCGCTTGCAGGGGCTGCGCGTGGGCTGAACTTGGCATGACCGTGCCGCGCGGCCACGTGCCGCGCGGCCATGACCTCAGGAACCCGCCGACATGCATGGTTTCCGTTATCCTGCTCCTCCTTCTCCCCCTTCTCATGAATCTCTTCCTCTGTCTCTTTCTCCTTCTCTTCCTCCTCTTTCTCCTCCTCCTCCTCCTCCTCTTCTTTCTCTTTCTCCTCCACCTCCTCCTCGTCCTCCTCCACCTCCTCCTCCTCCTCCTCTTTCTCTTTCTCTTTCTCCCCCTCCTCCTCCTCCTCCTCCTCCTCCTCCTCCTCCTCCTCCTCCTCCTCCTCCTCCTCCCCGCCTCTCTCTCTCTCATCCTGCTCCTCCGCCTCGTCCTCCTCCTCACTCCCTCCTCCTTCCTAGTCGTTTTCCTCCTCCCCCCCTCCTTCTTATCTCCCCCTCACCCCGTTTTCTTCCCCCGCCGTCCCCCCCCCCGCCCCCCCCTCGACTCCCCCCGTTCGTCGCCTTTCCTCTCCTCTCCTCTCCTCCCCTCTCCTTCTCCCGCTCATCCCTGCCGCCCCCCCCCTCCCCCCCCACATCTCCGCTCTCCTTTTCTGCCGCAGCTGCGCAGGCGGAGTTCGTGGCCCACCCGGTGCAGCAGAGGGCGGTCCGGAGGCAGCCCGAGCGCGCCATGCCGTCCATCAAGTTCCGCGCTCGGCGTCGGGGCGCGGCCAGTAGTCGATCCGCCTGCGAGATAGCGGGGGCGAGGGGGCGAGGATGAGGAGGAGGAGGAGGAGGAGGAGCTGGCGGGGGAGCAACTGGAAGAGAACATCGACGGAGGCGGACCTGGAAGAGAGCATCGAAGAGGAAGAGGAGGAGGAGGAGGAGGAGGAGGAGGAGGAGGAGGAGGAGGAACTGGAAGAGAACGTCGAGGAGGAGGAGGATGAGGAGGAGCAGGAGGAGGGGGAGAAGGATAAGCAGAAGGAGGAGGATGAGAAAAGGCGAGAGGACGAAGAGGAGCAGGAGGAGGACGAGGAGGAAATGCAAGAGGAGGAGGAGGAGGAGGACATGGAGGAGGAGCCGCAAGCGGATAAGGAGACCGATGAGCCAGCAGCAGCCTGGGACGTGCCACCGGAAGGCGCCCTCACAGCTCGCGGCCCGTGCGTCGCGACGACGGGGGGCAGCTCCGGTGGCGAGGCGTCGCGCGGCACATCTGCCAGGACGAGCTCGTCCACCCCGGGCCCTCTGCAGTCCGCCAGGCCTCTGCGCCCCGGGTCCTCCGCACTCGGCGCGGCCCTGCCGCCGCCTCTCCCTCTGCCTCTCCCCTCTCCGCTTGCTCGGCTGCGGTGGCGCACCCGCGGTGCCGCGGTGCCGGGGCCCCAGGGCTCTCTCCCCCCAGGAGGAGGAGGAGGAGGAGGAGGAGGAGGAGGAGGAGGAGGAGGAGGAGGAGGAGGAGGAGGAGGAGGAGGAGGAGGAGGAGGAGGAGGAGGAGGAGGAGGAGGAGGAGGAGGAGGAGGAGGAGGAGGAGAGGAGGAGGAGGAGGAGGAGGAAGGAGGGGAGGAGGAGGAGGAGGAGGAGGAGGAGGAGGAGGAGGAGGAGTGGGTGCCGACAGAGAGTGCGCCTCGCAGTCCACGGCCCTGCCCCGTGGCCGCCGCGGCCCGCCGGGCGGCCCTGCTGGGTCGTGGCGCCGGGGCTCGCCGGGCCGTGCCCTGCAGGGGGCACAAGCTGCAGGGCGATGTCTTCTACTCAGGAGGGAAAGAAACACACAGACACAATTAATCGTCGACTCCCAGGAAAATATGCAAAAATATGGGAAGTGGTGGGGAAGACAAAAACCCAGAAAATATGGGGAAATATGGGGGATGATTTTATTTGTGTGTATTTATTTGTGTGTTCCAGTTCCCCTTCATCTACGGGGGGGGGGGGGGGCGCCTTGCAAGGTCCGAGCTCGAGGGCGGCTCGGGGAGGCGGGGGTGCTGGTGACGTGCAGCGGAGGCGGTTGCGCGCGCTGCTGCTCCTGCGGTTTTTCTGGCTGTGGCGCTGCAGCGAGTCGCTCGGCGTGGTGCACACTCGTCGGGCGGCGGCGGCGGCCAGACGCTGTTGGGCATTTTGCAGATCGGCTTCAAGAATCATGGTCCCGACGGGTACTGCCTGCTCATGGTGTCCGACGGCCTGCACGTGAACATGAAGGGCGTGGCCGCGGGCATGGCCCTGCACGCCTCGTTGCAGTACACCAACGGGCTCCCATCGCATAGCCTTCGACATGCCAGCGTGTGCGAGACGTGCAAGTAGCCGCAGCAGGCTTTGTCGCTGCCCCAGGACATGGAAGAGAGCGAAGATCGAGGCCGACGCAATCAGCCACGCCGCCGCGACCAGCGCGTGCATGAATCGCAGACCCTGGCATCAGGCCCTGTCGCTGCTCAGCATGGTGGAGAGAGCGAAGTTGGAGCCGGCATCGTCGGCTACAATCTGGGGTGTGGGATCGTGCGAGGGGGCTGGCCGGTCTGACCAGATGCTGGCCGCCGTCGGACAGGTTTTCTGGACGCGCGAAATGGGTACGGAAAGAATGGGTACAATGCCCAACAGCAGTTCCTGTTCATTTTGAACAGGACTCGCTGTCCGCGCCGCCGCGGCCTGTGTCCATTTGAGACAGAGAGCCGCCCGCCCAACAGCGGCCGCTGTTGGTTTGGGACAATATTTGTCGTTGGGCATTGTGCCCATTCTTTCCGTGCCCATTTCGGGCGTCCAAATCGGACAGGTTCACTCGCGGCGATTGGACCTGGACCTCGCCAGAGACTCGTGGACTCGAGGCCAGGATGCGGAGTGTGCGCGTGCAGGGCGGGCGCCGGCAGCGGGCGCAGCCCCTGTCCGAGGAGGTGCGAGAAACCTTGCTGCGGTGGGATGGCGCGCGCGCGCTGGAGGCAGTCAAGGGCCTCAGCTACAGTGCTGGGATCAGCGCGTGCGAGAAAGGGCGATCAGTGGCAAAGATAGGGGGCCACAGGCGAACCCTACCCCTACCCCCTACGATTTCTGAAGGGGAGGGTGGGGTTCACTTCGTTCGGGAGGTCACGAGCGAAGTGAACCCCACCCTCCCCCTCAAAAATCGTGGGGGGTAGGGGTAGGGTTCGCATGTGGCCCCCTAGTCGGGGCGAAGCTGGATCCCAACGTCAGCCATGGTGTTGGCGTGGAGCCTTCGCAGGGCCTTGCGTGCTGGCCCGACTCGCACGCTCGCCCCTGGAGGTGCGCATGGGGCGGTTTCGGCTCTGGCGCAAGATTTTCGAGCACACCATTTCGATCACAGCATCTCGAGAGGTATCTGTATCATTCGTCGATCCCCCAGAACATATGGGGAAATATGAAAATAGGGGGGAAGACGAAGACTCATAAAATATGGGGAAATATATGGAATCATGCTATTTGTGCATATTTATTGCGAAGGCTTTACGGCCGGTGCCGCCGACCCTGCAGACGGAGACGACGAGCAGGACAAGGATGTTGAGGAGCAGGAGGCGGAGGACGTCAGGGAGCTGGAGGGGGGAGCAGGAGGAGAAGGAGGAGGAGGAGGAGAAGGTGGAGGAGGAGGAGGAGGAGGAGGACCTCGGAATTCTGGGTCCTGGGGTGTCCCGTGGCCGAGCGTCCAGGAGGCCAGTTCGGTTCTGGAGGGGGACGGAGGAAAGAGGAGAGATGAGGATGGAGGGAGGAGGGGGGGGGAGGAGAGGGCGTGGTAGAATGCCTCGGCTCTTGGCCCGTCTGAGGCTTTGTGTGGGCCCCGGGACCCCCCGCGGGGGAGTCGTATCTGACGCGGGACCCCCTCTGGACCCTCCCCAGGACCCCCCTGGAACCCCTCCCAGACTCCCCCGGGGACCCGCTTGGGACCCCTCCCCCCTGGCAGGGGAGGGATCAAAGGGAAGTGGCTTCCCTTCGACTCAATGACAAAGTTGCTCTGAAGGGGGAGGCTCTGGAAAAGCGTGGGGGGGCAGCGGCGACGGGCCCAAGGAAGAGGGGGAAAGGGGAGGAGGGGAGACGGGCCCAGGGAAAGGGGGAGCGCAGGGACATAAGACGACTGGCCCAGGGAAAGGGTGGGCGCAGGGACAGGAGACGACGGAGACGACGACGACGAACGAACGACGGGAATGGACAAGCCCCTCACACACGCCGACACAGGGTCGGCGGATCGCGCTCTTTGGCTTCGACAACGCGATATCCCGATTTATTGCGAAGGCCTTACGGCCGGTGCCGCCGACCCTGAATGGCGACGACGACGACGACGACGACGACGACGACGACGACGACGACGACGACGAGCGCTCTTGGGGGCCTCTTGGGGGTAACCTCATGCCCGTGAGAATAAACACTAGGGGATAATAAAGTTCGGGGTTCAGGGAGAGATAATAAAAGTAGCCCAGCAGACCTCAGCATAATCTCGAAGTAAGAGATGATCAAGAGGAGACCAAGCCGAGCACGTTTTGAGACATCCTTGGCGTTTAGTTTTCATAGAAATATCCTCAACAATGGCTTATCTCGCTGGAGACATCCTCGACAAATCCCTTGTTTCGCTTGAGACATCCGCAAACTATTGCTTATTTCGCTTGAGACACATCAAACTATTGCTATTTCCAGATAATGCCAAGTTCAGGCGAGCGTGGGGACAGAGAGAAATATAAAAGAAGAAGAATACAGTAGAAGAATAATAAGAAAGAAGAAGAAGAGGAGAATAAGAAGAGGACGAATAAAGGAAAAATCCAAAGTTCCAAATCTATCAATTTTAATTTACAAACGCTTTATGAAAATTGATTTTTTAAGTGCTCGTGTAGGGTAGCTCATGTGCTTCATTTTCCATGGATAATCAACCCCAGGGATAAAAAAGTTCAGGCGAGCGTGAGGACAGATAGAAATATAAAAGAAGAAGAGGAAAGTAGAATAATAATAAGAAGAGAAGAAGAAGAGAAGAAGAAGAAGAGAAGAAGAACGGAAAAATGGAAAGTTCCAAATCTATCAATTTTAATTTACAAACGCTTTATGAAAATTGTTTTTTTAAAGTGCTCATGTAGGGTAGCTCATGTGCTCCCCTTTCCATGGATAATCAACCCCAGAAATAAAAAAGTTCAGGCGCGCGCGGGGATAGATACATATATAAATAAAAAGAAAAAACTTGCTGGTTTAGCTTGAAACATCCTTGAGACATCCTTGAAACATTGCTCGTTTCGTTTGAGTCTGCCTCCCAAAATTATTGGTTTCGCTTGACACATCCTGAAAAGTGTGATCGCTTCGCTTGATGTTGCTATATCAACATCGCTTGATGTTGCTATCTCAACATAGCGTTTCGAGGTGATAATGAAGTTCGGCCTCAGCGCTCGCCGCCCAATTTGAATTTTGTATAGGGCGACGATAATCAACTCTAAACACTGAAGGGGGGGGGTCCCTTTATTATCATCGGCATGCGGTTAGTTTGTGGGCCTCTTGGGCAGGTCTTAGGGGCCGCGTGGAAGCCTCGTGGGGGCCTCTTGGGGCTTCCTGGGGGTCTCTTGGAGGGGGCCTGGGACGTCTTGGAGGCTTCTTGGACGGTCTTGGGGCTGTCTTGGGCGTTTGCGGCAGATCTTTGGGCGACTCGGGGCCCTCTTGGGCCGTCTCGGGGGCCATCTTGGGCATTCGGACCTCATTTGGAGTGTTTTCGAGGTTTCTAGGCCGCCCGAGGAAAAACGAAT